AGCACTTTGGGATGAACTGGAAGCGTACCGCACACCATTTACCTGTAATCAACGTCAAATACATATTGATCAACGCGAAGAAGACAAGTTGATGCAATTGCTCATGGGGCTTAATCAGTCTTATAAAACGGTGAGATCTAACATATTGATGATGTCTCCATTACCTAATGTGAGGCAAGCCTATTCATTACTTGTACAAGAAGAGATGCAGCGTCAGGTAACTTCCGAACCTACTGAGAATTTCTCGATTGCATCAGCAGTGCAAAAGAAAACAATATATTCAAAATTCGCCAAGGACAAAAAGTGTGAACACTGCAATAAAAGTGGTCATACAATCAATGAGTGTCGAATTCTTAAGTTTCACTGTAACTTTTGTGATAGAAGGGGCCATACAGAAGATCGGTGTCGACAGAAAAATAATTCTGGAAGGACAAGACAAGACAATCAACACAATAACCGTGGATATCGATCATCTGCAAATATGGCCGATGTTTCACAGTTGAATACAGAAGAACAGTCACCTAATTCCATTCCAAATTTTTCTTCTGAGCAATTACGAGAGATAGCACAAGCCTTATCTGCAATCAATCATCACCCTTCTGGTAATTCTGACAATCACGTCAATGTTGCAGGTTTGTTTCCCATATCTACATTATCTATTAACTCTGCGAGTTCTAATTCATGGATTCTCGATAGTGGAGCTACGGATCATATAGTATCAAAATCTTCTGTTATGACTGAACCAAAGGCTGCCATCATGTCTGCAATAAATTTGCCTAATGGAGAGACAGCACGTGTGTCACATACTGGCAATATTTCCCTTAGCCCTAACCTTCAATTAAACAACGTTTTATGTGTGCCTTCATTCAATTTAAACCTAATGTCGATCAGCAAACTTACCAATAACTTGAAATGTTATGTCACCTTCTATCCTGATTCTTGTGTTATGCAGGACTTGGCTACGGGGAAGATGATTGGCTCGGGTAAACAATTTGGAGGTCTCTATCATATTTCTTCATCTCCAATCAAATCTTCAGCTCATCAAGTATCTCAGTCATCTAATTTGTGGCATTTACGCCTAGGTCATCCTTCCTTTTCTCGTTTTAAATTTCTAGCTGATCAATTGCATCTTAATAATGCGAGTTATTCTCATAATTGTAGTATCTGCCCGTTAGCAAAACAAACTAGGTTGTCTTTCCCAAGAAGTTCAATAACAACCCATTCTGCTTTTGATCTGATACATTGTGATGTTTGGGGACCACATAAAATTCCTACCCATTCTGGTTTGCGTTTTTTTCTCACTATTGTTGATGATTTTACTCGATGTACTTGGGTTTTTTTAATGCAACATAAGTCAAAAGTACATCATTTGTTAATGAACTTTGTTAAATTCGTTCAAACTCAATTTCATACTACTATCAAGATAGTTCGATCAGACAATGGGACTGAATTCCTATCTTTGCAACCATTCTTTACTTCTTGTGGTATTGAATTTCAGCGCACTTGTGTCTATACTCCACAACAAAATGGAGTCGTAGAACGCAAGCATCGCCATATCCTAAATGTAGCTAGGTCTCTTCTTTTTCAGTCACAGGTTCCACTTAATTTTTGGGGAGAGTGCATTTTAACGGCTGTTTATCTTATAAATAGAACGCCATCACCATTATTATCTAACAAGACACCCTTTGAAGCACTCTACAAACGACCACCTACATTTCATCATCTTAAAGTTTTTGGTTGTAAATGTTATGCAACTATAGTACATCCTAAGCAAAAATTTGAACCTAGGGCAACTCCTTGTGTTTTCGTAGGATATCCTTGTGGTCATAAAGGTTACAAGTTGTATGACATGCAATCTCACAAATTCTTTATCAGCCGTGATGTCAAATTTTGTGAAGATGATTTTCCTTTTTCATCAGCTTCACAAACTTCGACATTAGCTCCTTCGACTCCTGTTGTACCACTTCATGATCCATCCTACTCAAACATCCATCCTCCACCTTCTATTCCTTCACCTCCTACTCCTCCTTCACCTCCTATTCCTTCACCTCCTACTCCTCCTTCACCTCCTATCCCTTCACCTACTACTCCGTCGTCTCCTCCACCTTCTCCAGATTCGCCCACTAATTCCAATCCTATCCCACCTGATACATCAGCTCCACTTCGACGTTCTACTCGTACTAAACAGCCTCCAGCTTGGCATAAGGATTATGAGATGTCTTCTGGAGCCAATCATTTAACCTCTAGCTCAAGTCCCGGCACTGGCACCAGGTATCCCCTTCATCATTACCTTTCATTCTCTCGTTTTTCTCCTACTCAACGTGCTTTTCTAGCTCTTATTACATCCCAGACAGAACCTAAAACCTATGACGAGGCAGTTGGCGACCCGTTATGGCAGCAGGCTATGAATGATGAAATTGCAGCTTTGGAACGTAATCATACATGGTCTCTCGTTCCTCTACCACTTGGTCATAAAGCTATTGGTTGTCGTTGGGTGTACAAAATTAAATACAACTCTGATGGTTCTGTTGAACGTTATAAAGCTCGACTAGTAGCAAAGGGATACACTCAGGTTGAAGGTATTGATTACACAGAAACATTTTCCCCTACAGCGAAACTTACTACACTTCGTTGCTTACTCACTGTTGCTGCTGCTCGAAAATGGTTCACCCATCAGTTGGATGTTCAAAATGCCTTTCTCCATGGTAATCTAGACGAGGAAGTTTATATGTCTTTACCACCAGGTCTTCGCCGACAGGGGGAGAATACAGTATGTCGGCTCCATAAATCTCTTTATGGATTAAAACAGGCTTCTCGCAATTGGTTCTCCATATTTTCTACAACTATACAAAATGCAGGCTACACTCAGTCCAAAGCAGATTACTCTTTGTTTACTAAGAGTAAAGGTACTTCTTTCACTGCAGTTCTAATCTATGTTGATGATATTCTGTTGACAGGCAATGATCTCGAAGAAATTCAATATCTCAAGACTAGTTTACTCCAGAAATTTCTTATCAAAGATTTAGGAAATTTGAAATATTTTCTAGGCATTGAATTTTCTCGATCTAGAAAAGGAATTTTTATGTCTCAAAGGAAGTATGCTCTAGACATCCTTCAAGACACAGGTCTTACAGGAGCACGTCCAGACAAATTTCCTATGGAGCAAAATCTGAAACTTTCTTTAACTGAAGGAGAGAAGTTGAATGATCCAAGTAAATACAGACGGTTGATTGGCAGATTAATATATTTGACCGTCACTAGGCCTGACATAGCTTATTCAGTTCGTATGCTTAGCCAATTTATGCATGAACCAAGAAAACCACATTGGGAGGCAGCTCTTCGAGTTCTGAGGTACATCAAAGGCACTCCTGGTCAAGGACTTCTACTGCCATCTGAAAACAATTTAAGATTACAGGCATATTGCGATTCTGACTGGGGTGGTTGTCGAACTTCCAGACGATCTATTTCTGGGTTCTGCATTTTCCTCGGAAATTCAATTATTTCTTGGAAGTCTAAAAAGCAAACTAATGTGTCCAGATCATCAGCAGAAGCCGAGTATCGAGCTATGGCAAATACTTGTTTAGAGTTAACTTGGTTAAGATACATTCTTCAAGACTTGAATGTTCCACTGTCCGAACCAGCATTATTATATTGTGATAATCAAGCAGCATTACATATAGCAGCCAATCCAGTTTTTCATGAACGTACGAAACACATTGAAATAGATTGCCATATAGTTCGAGAAAAGTTACAAGCTGGAATCATCAAACCGTGTTATGTTTCGACCAAAATGCAATTGGCAGATGTTTTTACTAAAGCTTTGGGAAGACAGCAATTTGACTTTTTGAAGGACAAGTTGGGTGTGATCGACATACACTCTCCAACTTGAGGGGGAGTATTAAGAGGATATTTTGCCGTGATAATTAGTTAGAATATATATCAGATATTTAGGGAGTTGTTAGTATAGATTTTATTAACCGTATATTTTATTTATTTACCAAATTTAGTTAGATATATATTTTTTCTATTTTTAGGTATTAGTTGATAGTTTGTATCCTATTTAAACGTGGTAAACCTGAATGAAGATCATACTTTCGATCCCAATTCTATTTCTATTTCTCATTCTTAACACATTCACGACTCGTTGTCCAAATCGTAACCGAGCAAAATCGCCATCGATTGTCATTTCAATCCTCGGTCGAATTCGCAGCTTATCGACATTGCTGATTGGTCACACTTTTTTCTGGCCATTGTTCATTGCTTGGTGATATCTTCATTATCCGCCTCCTTTTGTTTGTGTGTGTGTTCTTGTCATTTGGAATTATGAACAAACAAAGGTGTTTAGATGCTTTCTAAACAAGTGTGAATTTGGGGTATCTATCTATTGGGAATTGAAATGATTTGTTGTATTGATTTCGAATCTTTCAGCGTGTGTTCATTTCAATTGAGATGGCCATATCTTTGTACGATGGAAATTCATGCTCTGTAAGATTGTGTGCTGATAGATTCACTGTTTTGAAGGATGAGATGTTCAATCATTTCAGGATAGCTGGCTGGCTGGCCGTGGCTATGGTAAATCCAAAAGTTTGTTGCTGCTGCCTCTGCCACTGCTAGCCTATCAATGAATGAATGATGCATAAGTCATATGAACTTTCAAATTTCCTTGTGAGTTATGATTTCTTTGTAGGGGCCATTGCATCACAGCATTCATTTCTTGACCCTTGCAGTCTTAAATTATTGTACTGTAGATGACATTTTCAGCGAATTGTACCTTATGTAATCTACTTGAGTAGGATCAATCATCGGATTTGGAGTTGCTTTATACCATTCAAATTATTGAAACCAATTTATGATACCTGTCTTTGAGCTTCATACCTTTTTGAAGTTCTCGAAAGATATCAACTACTCGAGAAAGTTCAGAGACTAAATAGTTCTACGTATGATCAATCAAATTGAAACTTCAATGAAGCGGTAAGGATCAAAATCATAGGGACTGCATCAAAGCAAAGCATACTACTTGTGCTAGTGTTATTGCAATATGGTTTAATGTTACAAATGAACAGAAATGGGTTTAGAGGGAAATGTAATAGAAAAAAGAAGCTTAACAGAATAAGAACAAGCTCATGAACAAATATTGTCTCCCTCATCTCAAATACAAATGACATAAAGACTGAACTTCCAAAATCCCTCCAGTGTTGAGATGAATTGGTCATGGTTAACGATCCACGTAGGGCTGCAATTTTGGTGTCCTGACACAGCATAACGTGGAATTCTAGGGTGCACAACGTACTGATGTTATATGTCTCAAACCCACACACCATTTGGGTCTGATTATTATTACCTCGTGGGTCTGATTCCAGCGAGGCCAAGCTTGTCCTTGTCCTTTCACACTTCACAGAGGGGGCCTCCCAGTGGGGATTCAGAAATCCATCCATCAGCCAAAATGAAAGCAACCTTATCCATGAATCTGACCACTCACATTTCATCCTCAAAGCCCTCGAAACTTTCTCTCACATTCACATATCAGATGAGGTTTTTCTTTTTTCTCTCTTTCTTTTTCCTCTTTGAATATAAACAAATTGAAGTTTGAGACTCAATGAACATAACTGCTTCGACAATTATGGCAAACCAGACAAAAAAGGCAGTACAGAAAGTAATGCAAAAGGATTTCCATTGACAATTGGAAAATGGTGTTACAGATGAAAAAGGACTTGAAGTTCAGCTCCAATTTGTCGTTGAGAATCCGCATCAATTCAAAGAAGTAATCTTGTTCTTCCTTGAAAATACTTTAATGGGTAAGCCACCTTTAGGTACAGGAAATGGACCGTATTGTATCCCAGATTCCTCTCCCACCACTTTCCATCTGATCCCCCAAACCAAAAGCACAGCCAAGATTAGCCAAATAGCTAACTATCTCAAACAGACATTATAACAAACAGTTTGCAGGCATCACACAGAAACATCACAATTCAACTCTGACATTTCCACAAACACTTCGTAGGCAAACTACGATCGTAATTCATAATTCAGTCAGATATTTTCACAAACACTTCGCAAACAGATTAGGCCAACGACTAATTAAGTCGGACACTGCCACAAACACACCATAAATTCAACAGTGACATTTTCACAAACACTTCACAGGCGTGACCCAGAAAACATCATAATTCAATTGTGACATTTTCACAAACAGTTGTGCAAAGAAACATCATATTTCATCAATTAACGTAAACCCCAGAAAAAACAAAGAATCAAACCTCCTACCCCTCTTGGCGGCTAGATCAGCAAAAGAAAAACATGAGGTGTAAAATGTTGAAACGTGGAGAAGGAAGAAATGGTTTGGTGAATGGCGCTAGAGAAAAAAAAATTATGATTGTTCTTACAGCTGGCCAATATCGACTACTTTTGTCGCCAGGGGCTGAAGCCTTGATCACGATCACAGGGCAATTCTCCGCCATTTGTAAGAGAGAAAGAGGCAGAGAAAGGGATTTAGGATATTTTTTAGACCAAATGATTAGGGATTTGGGCAATGGGACCTTAGCACATCTCATTATATCCATTATTTTCCTACCCTCATTATCTAATTCCCCTTTACGTGACAATCTTATCATATTATATTTCCCATCCGATATATGAAATAAATAAAATATATATATATATATATATATATATATATATATATATATATATATATATAATGTAATGTCTAAATATAACAGAAAAAGTAGATATTATTGTATTGTAAAGAAACTCGTAGAATTTTCGAACAATAAAAATTTAATATTAAAGCAACACTCACTGTTTATATTCATAATCTACACATCGTTAATTTATATTATTTTATTGTATAAGAATGAATTTTTAATTAATAATTAAAAAAAACCTAATAAAAAGAGTGACGTAAGACTTGTACGTGGAATGATTTCTATCACAAAAAAGGATGATATTTTTTAAAATGACATGGCATCTAAAAATTATATATATATATACTTAAATATCGAGACAAAATAAACTTATAATAATAATATTGGTAAGAGGTTTGAATTTTCGGGAAAAAAAAATATTTTAAACCTAAATTTTTTCAATAAAATCCTACCTAGTTTTCTCCCAAAAAAATAATAATATATATATATATATTTATTTATTTATTTAAACCTAGGAAAATAATTTTTTTTCCTTTTTTTTTTTTGTTACTAAACTTTGCTCAAATTTTAATTTTTTAAACAATTAAGTTAAATTATACAATATTATTCCCTAAATATAAAATTTTTTTTAATTCATGAACTAAATTTAATTAAACATAAAAATCAATTTTATATATAATAAACCAATTAATTTTTATTAGAAACAAAATCAAAGGAATTAATTAGTTTTGAAATAAGTTAAACACATTTTAAATACAAAAACTAAATAAATACAAAATATATTTTTATACTATACTTATAACTTAACCGTATATTTTTTTATTCTATACTTATAATTTAACCGACATAAAATTAATTAAGCCTCATATATATATATATATATATATATATATATATATATATATGNATATATATATATATATATATATATATATATATATATATATATATGTGTGTGGGTGAAGGGGGGGCTTTATTTTAAGGGTAAGGTGCCCTTTATGCCGACTGAGATAAGAGAGAGAGAGGGTTGGGGAGCCTTAGATTTTAGGATAAGGTGCCCTTCAGACAACAGATGGGATGGACCACAGTTCCACGCCCAAAGGAACTCTACCTACTGGACCACATCCAACGGTGACTTTGGACAATCCTTCCTTTCTCTCTCCTAAAGTCAACACACACCCCCAACAAAAAGGGAGACAGAGAGAAAGAAAAAAAAAAAAAAAAAAAA